AACAGCACTCATCTCTATTTGTAGACCTGAGCTAGTGGCAGAAATTCCACAGGTTTTTTTTATATTCCGGAAACAATAGTGGACTCGTCCATTTACAACATTTAATAATTGTCTGAATACAATTACAATATTTAACTCTTCCCAGACATTTAAAAAGGTAATTTCATGATACTTCGATATGACCGAGGTGTAGTGCATTTACCACTTGTTGCAGAGGTTCAAGGTTCGAATTCCTACTGTCGCTCTGATTAATAACGTGAGTGTATTTACCATACTGTCTGCTTCGTAGTGAACGTTGCCATGATGTCACTCGCAAGAGTAGACCATTGTGTACTGACGTCATGGTTCAAACTTGCATTGCATAAGAAATGAATGTGTGATCATTGCGCAATACGGCAAAAAAAAACTTGGCAGGACCCTCCTGAAAAAGAGGCACGAGACGTGCTCGAAAAATTTACATCTATTAACAAACAATTACGCAGGTTGAAAGTAGACCACAATTATAACAATAATAACCCACGATATTACAACCATCTCCCCATATTTTGAATGCCAAACAAACAAAGGCACGTGTTAACTTGCTTTTAGCCTTTTCATGAAAGAGGGGGAGGGGGGGGTGGGGGGGGGGTTCTTGCACATCCCCGACACTTGATTCAACGCATCAATACAACACAATTCCTCCACCTTCAACCTTGTGATACACAGTGCATTTAGCATGCTTCTCTCTGCCATTGTGCGACTGAGAATGGACCGTACACTGTGTGTCTTCCACAGTTTTAACGTGCATTGTAGAAGCCCTAAAGTGCCAAGTGCCATTGCCAGTGTTATGGATGGTGCACATTAGAATCCCCAATGCCACATGCACTCAGAGTATTTTAGGTGGTCCTGTCATTCGACCCTTGCTAAGCTATGAAAATGGCATGGAAATGCATTTACTCTAAATGGATTTCAGCCTCATCATATCATATCTCTGCTGATCATGCAGAGCCATGAAGTGGTAAAGGGAGAGCCCCTGTTAGCCCCTGCGTAGAATACAACTTTATCATTGTTGGACCTTTTTGCCAGTATCAAAGTATGAAAAAATAAGAATAGGGTTTACCCTTTTTGGCAATCAAACAGGTGTTAATATATATTCTTAGTTTTTTCGGTAAAGTCACGTTGAAGAGAAACAACAAAATAACAAAATATATATAAAACAATAAAAAAATTCTCACGACGTTTCGACCATAACTCAAACGGTCATCATCAGGTGTGTCGGTTTGCATAAATTTACATCTATTAACAAACAATTACGCAGGTTGAAAGTAGACCACAATTATAACAATAATTGCAAACCGACACACCTGATGATGACCGTTTGAGTTATGGTCGAAACGTCGTGAGAATTTTTTTTATTGTTTTATATATATTTTGTTATTTTGTTGTTTCTCTTCAACGTGACTTTACCGAAAAAACTAAGAATATGAATTACTGCAGTCACGAAAGCTTTAAATCAAAATTTAGGTGTTAATATGTTCAAACACCAAATAGATACCTTTTGTCAAGGAATGAAGTCTTCATTCTATAGATGTACCTGCTCACCCCGAGCTATAAGTGCTCTGATACGTACATTGTCTTTGTACTGTTCGCCTTTTTGCATTCTCTGGTCTGACACTGGTGAGACTAGGCCATAAAGAAGGCTGTCACCGGTATAGGCCAATCATTTTCAAAGACAATGCCCATTTATTATCAGAGTTTTGTTTGCATTTTCACCAAAGTACGTGTGGCTTTTGCAGACTTGATTCCTTGCAATAGGTATCTATTTTGTGTTTGAACATCTTAACACTTGTTTTATTGCCAGAAAGGGTAAAATCTATTCATGTTTTTTTCATGACTTTATTATTGAGCTACTCACATGACAACTATATGCCTCTATGAAGAGGAGGGAGTTGTTTTATTTGCCTCCTTTCCTGAAACATTCAAACACACACGCACATAGTCGCAGAGTTATATACGTCTTGAATGTTCACAGGGCCTAATGGGACAAAATCGTGCCAGTTTCAATCAGGACCTGAATCCAATTCCAAGTGGAACAGATTGGATCCCTATTTTCTCAGATCTGACACCAATTCTATACTGTCGAGTATATATGTTAAAAGTGGCGCCCACCAGCTATTGCTGCTCAAGTGTGGTGTTAGGCGTCTCCTGTTAATGTACAAAGTCCCGGGTTAGATTCGCAAGCATATTTTACATGTCCGTTGTCCACATTAATATATTACAACAGCAAGATCGGTCGTTGGTCACTCATCTTAATGTACTTGTCCATCCAATCCATCAACCAGTTCATGATGCGATCTTGATCAATCATGAATGGGTCATGGATCACATTTTTTATTATGGATCGTGTTCCATACTATGCATGGTCAGTCCAATCATCCAATCCGATTCCAAAAGAATGTAGCGCAGGGTGACCTATTCCACACTATTAATGAAATATATATTCTTCGGCTCATGATCCATTCCTCTGTGGACAGAAAATCGATTATTTCTGAGATGAAAAGTACAGGCAAATTAAATGCTAATGTTACATTTAAGCTAACGGACAAAATAAAACTGTGCAAGTGTAAGATTTATAAAAAGAAAACGACAAACAAGATGGCAGAAATTTCTAAAAATGAAATACATTACGGATTCGAATTGCTATCCTCAATCATGATAATTCATTATATTGTTGGGTGAGGCAAATTGTAAGATGCATTGCTCTTCACACTTTCAGTTCACAAATTTCGTGGCAGATATTCCTCTATAAATGTACAGCTCCTCAAACTTTCGAGGATGAGCTTGGATGCAGAAGAAACGCATTGACACACACACATGGAAGATGAAGTTGATCAAGACATTGATGATTAATACACTTCTTATGATGATGATGATGTTGACGATTCTGATGGTGAAAATACTCCTCATGATGATGATGTCATAATAATGTTGCTGATAATGATGGCGTGACACAGTTGCTGATGATGCTGGTAATGATAATGACAAGGATAATATAATTTTATTGAGTAGCTACATGAGTCTCAAGGCTCATTTTTGTAATGGTCCTGAAAGGTGTCCTATTTCATTTTAATAACTGCATATGGAAAGAAACATGAGTACCCAGGAAAAAACTCATGCACATAATCAATCAGGATACTTTCCACCTGCCATCAGAATAATACTGCATCATCAAAAAATAGATAAACACACGTCTGCGTGTATAGAGCTGAAGGTGAAAACTGGTCAAAAGTGCCTGTGTAACCACACCACTGCATCATTTCCTTCTATCAGATGCTGCAACTGTTGCACTCACTGCGAGACCTACCTCTGGCGGTCGCATCACCATCTGAAAATATTATTGGGCACCTCTAGGTTAACTAAACCTGATATGGGTGTGAACATCAGTGTTTTGAAGACAAAGGTGGCTAGATGTGGTTCTCGCCACACCATCCCCTCATGTGCCATGCCAAGCCTTAATATGTTTTCACTTCTGAACTCACACTTATAGTTTATAAGGTTTAACAAAGGAATCTTGCTATATCTTCATAAGCATTATTAGTGTATGTATGCCAATTCCACTGCATCCTAGTCCACTCAGCAGGGCCTAGTCCTTGGGATGTTAAGGTTGAATTTCCAGCACATTTTCCAAGGTCACAAGTGTAGAATGCCACATGAATGATGTATCACTATGTCCACTTCACACAGCCTCGGGTGGTAATATCCACAAGTACAGAATTGTCAAATGTTTCCACAGTTTTGCAGTAGCTCCACAGTAGCACTTTCACAGGCCTGCTCACTTTGCCCTATTCTACAGACTGCAGAATAGCAGAATAAGGCCTGCAATAATTGACAACAAGCAGGATGGGATCACCTTCTGAAAAAGTGGCAATTGCTCCACCAAAATGCAGGAATAAATGCTTAATAGATTGGGCCTCTGGTCTCAATTGCAACAATCTTTAAATATTCCAGATTTTAATCTACTTAACATTTAAAATACGGTTCCAATTATATGATCTGATTTTCAAGAAGAAGAAGACTCTTGATTTGGTGGTATATTGCTTCATATGGTGCCAATGTATGAATAACAATGCAATGCCCTAATGTACAAAGCACACTTTGTATAATGTGTTTCTTTTCTCTAATATGCTATATTGTACGAATATTAATGAAAATGCAGTCAGAGTCTATACATGCCCATAAATAAACATGTTACTGAAGCAGAGAGACTCCTCTTCATTTAATGGGTGAAAGCACTTTTTTTAGTGCAGTATGCTCATATACTTACTAAATATGTATCAGAAACTTTTGCTTGGCATTCCGTTACATTGAGTGTTGAGTCAATCCTGCAGTGGACTGACCACTTGCTTGGCCATTTATCACTTCTCTTAAAAGGCTCGTAATCAGAGGTTCTTTGCACATGCTTAACAGAGCTTGTAACAGGAAATTAAATAATTTGCCCTCTTACTGCTTAATCTGTGGTCTGAAGTGACTGCTTTGATGTCTGCCCTTTTCGGTAGGAGTAACAAATGTTTGAATTCCAAATCATTTGACATTTACTCTGCTCTGCACGATACAATCGACTTATTTATTAATGAGGGCAACACTGAAGAAGAGGGCCGTGCTTCGCCACAAGTGGACTATGCACCAGATGACATTCTTTTTTATATATATACTTTATTTTATTTCAATAGGAGCCCGATACAGAGCATCAATCGCATCACGAGGTGGTGGGGCTATAGAAAATCCACAGATCACAGTCCAAAAACTTTATGTATCCGGGTTTAAAGCAGAGGGGAGAGTGGGCGGGGGGGAGGTGGTGAAGAGGGGAAAAGGCGGAGCAGATGACATTCGTAACGGTCTAGCAGATGGCGATCACATTTGGTCCATAAAAAAAAAACACAAAACAACTGAGGCCTGCCTCACGTGTGCATGCCAGGCTCTAACACGAATGCCTCTCCCGTGGGCGCTCGCCCCCCCTGCAGTGTGGAAAAACCCAAGGCGATGTCCCTGATGCTGCACACCGCAGACATCAGCCACCCAGCGAAGAACTGGAACCTGCACCGACGCTGGACCATGTCGCTGATGGAAGAGTTCTTCAGGCAGGTTCGTGGAGCAGTTGTGGCTTTTCCCTGGTGGCTGTACCGCCCCTTGGAGCAGTGCTGCTAATCTAGTTGCAATGTAAAACTGCTTAGGGATGCTTCTGGCACACACGACTTGACATCCCAGAGGTCACTGATACAGTCGCCAGGCACAGAAAGTTGAAACGATGGTGCAGGTTGCTTAAATTCCCCCACCACCCCCTGGATTCCGTGGTGGGATAAAGTGTGGGCACTCCCACCTCTTCCAAGATGCCTGGCCAGTGTGTGAAGGGTAGACCAAATGCCAAAATACCCTCTGGTGGAGGTTTTATTTCCACCGGCAGTTCCAAAGAAAGCAATTGCTGGATGTACCTTTGCTGCCGATCCTACAGCCGAAGGTCAATGAACCAGGAAGCTGTCTCACACTTTGTAGATTTTCGTTATAATTCGCTATGGGAATTTGGAGAGGATATCCTGTTTGTCTCTCTGGAAGAGGATTTTGGTGATATGGCGTTAACAGCTCCTCGCGACAAGGAACGGGGGGGGGGGGGGCGGTATTGTAGCTGGCTGAGAGTATCGGACACCAAGCTGATTTGTAAGCAGTATACTTGGATATTATGGTGCGCATGAAAAACCTGCAAGTTTTCAAAATATTTCTCTCATTATATAGAAAAACTAAATACATTTACATCTTGAGTATTTTTATGGCACTTCGAGATGCAATTTGTGCAAGAAATGCACCACATATGGAAACCAAAAATAATATTGACTTTACCTACTTATAAAAGTTCACATTGCGAAAGGGATTGTTCTTAATTAACTCACTGAAAATGTTGCTCAATTGAACCTCCACTTTTTTAGCGAACAAATGCTAGATGCAGCGTGTGTAAGTAATTTTTATGAAGGCCATGTATCTGACAATTTCAAGGACCACTCCCGCACAAACAAGTAATAAATATACTATTCAGATTTAACCAGAAATATACAATGCACTGATGGACGCTGCGTGTGATTGTAATCCGCAGGGCTCATTTTTCATGGCACATTTTAATGCTAGTTTGTGTGTCCATTTTGGCCTTCTTGTTAAACCCTATCAAAGTAAACCCTCTCATTGTACAGTTAACCATATGGAAATGCTAATTGTGATTTGAGATTAGCTTTTGTTCACATGTGTATAATAGGTGAATGAATGCAATGCCTAATAGAACATGGGATCTTTCTTCTGGCTTTATGTGCATCTTTCAGATGTGATTTCTTTTTTTACATTAAGGGAATAAACTCTATCACAAAAAATGTCTACGTAGCACAGATGGGAATGTCCAATTGGGCCACTGAATAATGCTGCATGTATTATCATCAGTCTCAATCCATTGCTAGATAAGGCCCTCTGTGTTGGTGCCACCATTCAAAGTGCTGCTCAGCTGCAATGCATCTCACTCCCACACGTGGATTTAATTCGTCATTCAATTTCCTCTCATTCCATTCACCTCAATTGACTTCCAACTACTGGATGTGGTTTACGCGTATATGGGTTCCTTTAAGCACAATAAAAAAAAAACTCTATCCATGCAACCATATACTGTACATCTACAATACTTTTATCTTGTGCTGATCTGTCCATACATTTGTTATAAATCTTTCCATTGAGAAGCACATTTTTTTTAAAGTTTAAATTCACTCACGAGTGTTTGTGTGTGTGCGTGTGTGTTTATTGTGCAGGGGGACAAGGAGGCAGAGCTTGGGTTGTCCTTCTCACCACTCTGTGACAGAAATGCTACCATGGTTCCTCAGTCGCAGATTGGTTTGTAAACTCTCGACTGCCTGGCTTTGATTCATTAGCTCTGATGATTGGCATGAACCATCACCCGAACTCCGGTCATCCTCGCAACAGTTTTTGGCTGCCCATCAAGCAAATTATGGTCACTGCGCCGCGCGCTTTCGGACGTGCTTCTGCAACCACTCCTCCTTACAATATTAGGAAGTCGCTGGAGCTATGCACTTTTACATCTCGATTGAAAACTCATTTCTTAGGAACAGCTTTTTTGCGTTTAGTTTGTTGTCCTTACCCCGCACCTCTGATTATCGCGGTTGGCTACGTACGTTAATAAAGAAGTTCAACATACATACAACATCCATTGATAACAATTGGCCAAGGATGAATCCTTATGGCAACACAAATTGCCTCTTTACTGCAGGCAATAATTGCAAACACTTAGCTTTTTTATGATGTTATTCTCATATAATTTGAAAGTTGCAAATACTTAAGCTGAATGGCACAGCAAATACAGTACAGATGTTCAATTTGAGAAAAATCTATATTTTAATAAACCACATGGGTATCGTTTTCTCGTTGCATTCATTTTCTTCAAACTAAAGCAATCTCACGACTCAATTGCCATCACGGTAAGACTGTGTCCACATATTTTACGTAAGTTATAATATTAGACAATTCAAATTGATTTTCTAAGTTCGTTAATTTTGTTAGCTTTAGATAATTAGAAATTGCACCCCAAAAGAAAATAGAAAATCCAATATGCGCTCGTCTTAATTTAATGAATGACGCGTTTAATGATTGTTAATAACATACTTGTTACGAGCAACTAGCGCAAAACATGACTCAGCCTGAACATCCCTATACAGTATTAAGGAATTCAGACTGTCGCAATTATCGGAATAATTATCTGCTTAGAGTTTTTTTTGTTCTTTGTTAAATCCACTGCTGGATGAGGAGTGTTAGTCTTGGGAGGTACTTGACCATACCTCATTACTCTCGCAAGCGTGCATTAGTAAATGGAAACCCATGGACCAATTCAGATATCACGCGTCACTAAGGCTAGTTTTGAACTCAGATCACTGGGTTCATAGCGTAGCGCACAAACTCCTGAACTATCACTCCGTGCCAATAAAGGCCAAAAAGCTACTAACTTGCCTTAATATTTTGCACAAATTTACATCTCGAAGTGTCCGCTAATATTCAACTTGCTCCGCAATTAAATTTAGATGCTACCAATTAAGTCATAACTAGCTGTGACGTTTCCATCCTACCTTCCGATGTTTAGTAGTTATTTTCGACTCTCTGTTTTTACGTGAACCGGTTAAATCTCTTTACGTTAAAGGTTGAAATGTCTCACTAACACAGCCACAGTTGCTCATTTTCCCCGATGTAGCGGTGGCTCTGCGATCTTACATTGACATGCTAATTCCTCACTTTAACATAACTAGCCCCGCCCACTCCGCTTATGACCCTTGGGCTACACCCATTTCAAACCTTTAAAACAGCTTGCCTCAGATGCTTTCCCGCTATATTCTCCTCCTGTTGACGATTGCTTGTGTTACGATCGAAAAGTCGTAGTTTTCTGTTATTTTTTTGTTATTTTCTCTTAACCTATCTACGTGACTTTACCGAAAGACCCAAGAATAACAATTGCCTGCACATAAATTTAAAGAAAAGACCGGTTGAGACAAGAACAGGCAAAGAGGGGGGACGAATATAATTTCAGGCCTTCACGAGTTGCAGAAAGTGACAGCTGTTCTTGAAAATGAAATTGAGTTGTGCTGTGATGGTGATATGGGGAGCACAGAAGTCACTCGTGATTGGCAGGGACGGGCCATCGGTTGATGGTGGAGTTATTGTGTCCAAAAAATATGTTTGTTTAGATTTTGTTTGTCACAAAGGTTGGACATGTCCCTTTCTCCACGTGGCTAAGACTGGATTTATAAAACAAGATTTTGTGTAAAGGATTCCGAACAGCCAGTTTTTATTTATTTGAGTATCTGAAAGTCACTTAATATTACATCACTGATGAGGGCTTCAAAGGGGGTGATAATTGACTTTCACCTCAATAGATGACAGCATACAGCATGTGCTGCATGTCAAGGAGTTCCCGAGAAGAAAAAAAAGCAATGATAATGTGGGTATGTTTATGATGTATGTCGGTGGTAGTGAAAATAAAAAGTGACAAAAGAAATGCGAAATAAATTAATGGAGCTACCAAATTGGTGCTGTTCAACAAAATAATAATAATGGCCACTGAATAACTCCCAAGAGTGGTGGAAGGCTTGATTTACGTGGATCAAAGTTGTAGCAGTTTTCTTTCGAAAATATTGTTGTATATTTAGGAGTGCATGTGTACATGACGCCTAAACATGACAAACTTGCAAACATTATGTGGATATCCTCGTTTGGTGCAAACCTAGGCCAGACGAATGTTTCCCACAGGCACATTGCCAATGTTATTTATTTATGCAAGCTACAACCTAGACAGGGTACACCTTAATTCAGCTGTCCTATTTTCAATAAAATCCCCGTCAGCAAAAGCAGCAAACCAATACATACCATTAAAGAAGCAATCATAAAACTCCAGCATACACTCGCACACAAAGATCTTCCATATAGTCCTAACATATTGTTTGGGCAAGCTCTGTTAGCGAGCACCTATTAATGTCGGCACGGCACACGCACGGATGGGTGGGTGGCCAGCACCACGCCTGGCCGCCTTTGTCTCCCGAGTAGCGATGGTTACACATCGCACCAGGTGCTCTTTTGTGGATCACAAAACCTAGGGGAGGCCCAGGGCTGATTCAGATAATTGTCACTGGTGTTGGTGACCGTGGGCGGGAATCGAACTCAGGTCGCCGGGTTCGTAACACAGTGCACTAACCACTACAATACCGCTTCCCGCTCACACACACAAACGTACACTAAAAAAAAGCCACACGTCCTAGCAGTAATGCTACTACTACTACCACAATATTAAGTTTAACAGTGTGAAATTACGGTCGGAAAAATTGAAATGACCTTCAGTGAAAGAAAAAAAAAAAACAAACACATTTTCGGCGACAGCAGAACACCGCATCGTGTGACAATGAAAGCGTCGGCGTCGTCCGTGCCGGCTCGCAGGTTTTATCGACTACATCGTGGAGCCCACGTTCACGGTGCTGACGGACCTCTCCGAGTTCGTCGTGGCTCCTCTCATCGATGAGGCGGCACGGGCCGGCACGACCAGCTTCCGACGCAGCAGGTGCCTAACGCGCGCACATCACCCAACGACGACAATGACCGCGACGCCGCGGCAGCGACAGTCGCAATGTGTGGGCTCCTTGTCGATTCGCTGGCGGGTGAAGTCTGCCACGTTGCTGCGTGCTCATCCAGTGCCTCTATGATTATCCTAGTAGCAAAAGTAGCTACGTGTGTAGCTACGCCGGGGCCCCCGGCACGTTCAAGGGCCCCACGCTAAATGCTTTCAAGCTATATCAATTGCGGTTCGGTGATTCTGCTATAGTGCTATACTGCCTTCAACTTTTATGAACGGCTGGGTCTTTTCAAGGTTAGCGATTTGTCGTATTATCTGGCTGTATAGCAAATGAAAAAATACAATTACTTAACTATGCAAGTAAAAAAAATTGTGTTTTAATATTTACGTGTTTTTATTTTATTTAGGGCCCCATTATAACATATGCTACAGGTCCCGCACTAGCTTAATCCGGCACTGCACTCACCCCATCGTAATCTGCCCCCGGTAGACGGAATCTTCATGCCAGCGCTGAAGGACTTTAAGAAGGTCATGGGCACATGAAATTCATCTCCTCCATTCACGTTCCGAGAGTGAAAAATGTCTGCAGGATTGATTCAAAACGATCAAACGCTGATCCAGTGTTGACATACAGTGTCTCGTCAACATTTAGGCTTGCTTGGATCAATGCTGGTGAACTGCCAGATGTTATGCAGCAAGAATCCTCTCTTTAAGATATGGATCGGTTATATTTTGTTACGTATATTTCCCAGTGACACGAATTATTATTTTGTCTTTTGATACCGTAATGTTGGATTGCGTGCTGTGCTTAACATGACATTAAGCCATCACAGTCTGTATGCTCTGATTTATCTATCTTAAAATGTAACAAGCAAAGCAATTCGAATCAAATATTGTGTCCTACTGTTGGACCAAGTGTTGTCAGATCTTTACGTCCGTTCACACAATGACATCAACCCGGTGACATTCAGTCGTGAACGCATTCGTTACTTCTAATATCCAAAGATAACGTGATACCCCTACCCCTTTATTGTGCATTTTAGGCTGAATTGTATGAATATGCATGCGTGTGAATATAACCAACTGTTCTGTCAAAGTGGTTGTCTTTATCTTCCAAAGCTATATGTATGTGTGTATGTATGTTGAACTTTTTGCACCGTACGTAACCGATCGTGCTAATCGGAGGAATTAATTAAAGTAAAGTAGATAACTTTGTACTGTTAATTATTATGCACCTAGAAATTAAGTGCCAAATTAAGATAGTTGCGAGCTGTTATATTTTTTAGATAAAAATGACATTCAGAATAACCAACATTTTCAAACATTTTATATTGTACAATTCAATTATGATACAATGTTTTAAAAGGTAATATGTTTAAATCAAACGATAAAAGAATGGCTTGAAATGCATAGTACCGTCATAAAATGTAAAATTATCTATCACCCTTTGTTATATGCGAAACACGTTTGTGATGATCATAATAATTATTATACAGTATAATATATCCCCCCTCCCTCATAGCTAACTGGCAGTTGAAATGGGATTTTGGCTGTGTAGGAGAATGAGGTTGTGTGCATGGCCTGTTAAGGTTTAATGGAATCCAGAAGGCGTGCCAAGCATCTGAAAAATAGGGCTGTGTGTTTGAAGCGACTAAAGGGGCACTTTGGATATTTTCCTCCATCTGCCTCCTGCTGCCTGCTTCCAATATAACCTCGGGGGATGTGCACGTATTGGGGGTCTTTGTGTGTGCACCAGTGCTTTGGCGCACACAAAAAGCCCCTTCGATGCACTCCCTCCCTCCCACCGCCTCCGGCGTGGGTGGAGAACTTTTAATGAACCTCCATTAACCCAATCGGCTGCAATTCCACGGCGTGCGTAAAAGCGATTTAATTGCGGCAAGTTCGCGCAGAACTTGTCTTCCCCAGAAGCCGTTCGGTAACCGGCGTTTACAGCACGTGGCATTGTAAAGAAAGTGGCCTTGTTAATGTGAGATATTACAAAGACAGATCTCACAAGTGCCCACAGGCACAGGAAGGCAGTAGGGGTATCACAGAATCACATCGGCGTGTATTGGTGGTCGTGTGTGTTAATTACATCATTGTCCAGCAGAGCCGGAGCTGTGGACTGGAGTTCGTTTTTCTGGTTTTGATTTTAAAGACGCTCTCAAGCACTTGCGTCTGCATATATAATATCTATCTGGCTCATATGCCCTCGAAATGAAATGTCCTCATAGCCACAATAAATATTGCCAAAGTCATTGACTGTAACACTTAAAATACATTCCAACTGTTGGAAAAGGTACAAGTGAACAAGTCAAATAGAGACAAAACACTACTGCAAGATGCAAGTATATTAGCTGTATTTTAGGATGTGATTTTGACCTTGCAGAGTGATAATGACCTTGAATATTTAAATAAGAAGCAAAGTCTGGGGTTGAGATTGCTATTGGGTAGAAATCTAATGAAAATAACAATGATGATGATGATGACACTGATAGCGATGGTAAAATAATGCACTTTATTTTCAGTCTCGCAGTCACAATGACTCATTTCATGGAGTTGGCATGGCAATGCAAAAAATATTGCTTATTATCATGCGCTAGCTATTACCGCACAGAGCGACACATTACCATATTCAGCGTTAGCACTTGGCATTATAAATTGCCTGACACTCTTCCATTTATATTTTTGTCTAGGGGTCTCCTTCAAGACAGATTATTTAAAACAAAATTCCTCTAATAGGAGGTCTTTTCTGTCAACGACCCCACCAAAACACGAGGCCAATGTGTTAATTGGGAGCAACGTGTTTGGATTGAATTTGCGTTCGCTGCTACGGCTGCGCTGGTAAAACGTTAAAGCACACGTACACACACGTGCCTCAAGTTGTCGAGCGTGCTGCCCATATTGATTTAGCATACAAAGTAATCGGCAATGCTTTTCATTGGAAAAGCCCGTGCTCAGAAGAAACAAGCAGATTTACTCGGGGGAGAACCAATCTAGACGCGCCAGTTGATAACACCCTCTATTCGTCGCCTCCTACTGCACACGACCAGCTCCATCCTGTTGGACAGTTGAGTGCACCTTGGCTGGAGATAATATAGGGCCCTTTTTACGGTCAAATTGAATTTTCACCTGGGAGCTGTTTGGCAATTTGCACTGTATTCACCTGCTGTCAGTCTTCTATTTGGAGTGCCAGAGTGCGAGAGGAACTGGTGAACACAGGGCCCAGGGCAGTGAAACTGAATGCTGTACTCCAGCCCTAAGGATGACATTGCCAAACAGAGGTTGAAGGTCATTATGATGGAATCACGCCTCGGTAGCACACAGGGGTGGTTTAAGTCCAGTTTGTCTACGAGTATGGGTGGATGAAGTATAATTGAGGTGGGACTTTCAATTACGTACATTGTACTAGGCTGAGCTTTCTCTCTCAGGAAAAGGTCTGGGGAATTAGTGGTTTATTGTGGGATGGAGGGGGAGGTAGCAGGTGTCCCTTGCTGTCGACGATATTGTCTGCATAGGGCTCGTCCAACTCAAACCTCAAAGCCACAGATGAAGACAAGGGGTTTGTTAACACAACACGGAAAATATTACATATTCAATTCTAGATTTGAGGCTTTCGTGACTGCAAGGATCCATACTCTTTGGTTCTATTCGGTAAAGTCACGTAGGTAAAAAATAAAATAACAAAAATCACGACGTTTCGGCCACAACACAAGTAGCCTTCATCAGGTGAAGAAACAGGACTGTCCAGAAACAGGACTGTCCAGAAGACAGTCCTGTTTCTTCACCTGATGAAGGCTACTTGTGTTGTGGCCGAAACGTCGTGATTTTTGTTGTTTTATTTTTACCTATGTGACTTTACCGAATAGAACCAAAAAGTATTACATATTCATTTACCATCTAGCAGTTGGTGTGCCATTTGCAAACAATTTTTCTGAATTTGATCTTGGACACCACGTGTTAAACTTGTGATATAAGACTGTGTTACCTCTTGGCATCCCTTCAAGAAGTAAATGTACAAAGCAGAATTCAAACTTGTTTCACCTCCATTGATTCACAAACATAAGTGTGCCTAGTAATTAGTTTAGTAGTGCGAATCTGTGTAATGTCGGCTTTCTGTGTACAAAGTAGGCCAAACGTAATGCCACTACATAATTATTAGAGCTGACATCACCCACACAAACACGATAAGGAGCACAGCTCACATGGAGCACAGCAAATGGTGGTCAGCGCGCTCCGAACCCAGAAACCCGAGTTCGATCCCCGCTCCCGGTCAACACCAGTGATGACTATATATCCGAACCGGTCATGGGCCTCCTCTAGATCGACTCAGCGTCAAATGAATACCTGCTGTGACACGTGATAACACCCCCATGTGTGCCGTGGTGGCCTACGTGTAAGTGCAGCTCGCTAGCAGCGCTTGCCCCAACAGTCTGTTAAGGCTACACGGAGGGGGGGTGGTGAATCTTTGTCTTTGTGTGTGCAGCCTGAACAGCATCGCGCTCTCGGACGGGCGAAGGTCGAGTGCTCGCAGCATCGCCTCGGAGGGGAAACACCCCCCGCCCCGCACCGCCATGCTCGCAGTCGACCCCAAAACGTTCCGAGTGTCCTGGACCGACATCATTACACAGAACAAGGAGAAGTGGAAGGACCAGGCATCCAAAGGTGCGAAGTGGGACCCTCGCTGGGAACCAATTCTGACACGGGCTTGCGATTGCAGCGTGCGGGGTTATAGATGTGGACCCGGTCGAGCCGGCCCTCGTCGAAAAACACCTTCTGAGAAGCATCTCTTATAGAGACACCATCCCCCCCTCCACCCACCAGCCAGCCAACACCCCCTCCAATCAGCAGCCACAACCCCCCCTCCACCCCCTCCACCCACCAGGCAGCCACCACCCCCTCCACTCACCACCCCCTCCACCCCCTCCACCCACCACCTCCTCCACCCCCTCCACTCACCACCCCCTCCACTCTCCACCCACCAGCCCCTCCACCCACCAGCCAGCCACCACCCCCTCCACTCACCACCCCCTCCACCCACCACCCCCTCCACTCACCACCCCCTCCACTCTCCACCCACCAGCCCCTCCACCCACCAGCCAGCCACCACCCCCTCCACTCACCACCCCCTCCACCCACCACCCCCTCCACTCACCACCCCCTCCACTCACCACCCCCTCCACCCACCACCCCCTCCACCCCCTCCACCCCCTCCACCCACCAGCCAGCCACCTCCACCCCCTCCACCCACCACCCCCTCCACCCACCAGGCAGCCACCACCCCCCCCACTCACCAGCCACAACCCCCCCTCCACCCACCAGCTACCATCTCCAACAGCCACCACCCCCCCCCCACCACCACAACCACCAAGGCTGTTTAATTAACTTCTTTCCGATAAGCTTTTTTTCAATTCCACAAGATAGAGGAGTGCACAGTAGCATCTACCCAGCAAAAAACAAATGATAAAGCAAAATTGTGTCCTCGGGATGTGAGAGAAAGCCCTCTTGGCTGAAGCAGTCACTGTTGTTGCTGCTCACCTCACATCACGCGTGCCTGTGTGCACACCATGTTATCTTTTAATTACAGTTTTAGTCTCTACAAAACGTGGTCAACTTATTTCATTATTTTTCACAACATGCGTTGCATGTACAGTACTCGCACACGTAAGCTGTCGCTGAAATAATTATACGTCCCTTTTTTTCCTTTTTTTAGTAACAGATTTGATATTTTGATTTAAAGCTTTCGTGACTGCAGTAATTCATATTCTTAGTTTTTTCGGTAAAGTCACGTTGAAGAGAAACAACAAAATAACAAAATATATATAAAACAATAAAAAATTCTCACGACGTTTCGACCATAACTCAAACGGTCATCATCAGGTGAGTTATGGTCGAAACGTCGTGAGAATTTTTTTATTGTTTTATATATATTTTGTTATTTTGTTGTTTCTCTTCAACGTGACTTTACCGAAAAAACTAAGAATAAGATTTGATATTCTTAGCTCTTTCGGTAAAGTCACGTTGAAGGGAAACAATAAAATAATAAAATATATAAAACGATAAAAATTATCACGACGTTTCGACCATAACGCAAATGGTCGTCATCAGGTGTGCCGGTTCGCATTTATTTATTTTTAAACGGTGTATTTATTTATAAAAACGTCAGCGCCACGAGCAGCGATTTGGCAGTTTATTTAGAAGGACGAGTCCATCTGTGTTCTGAAAAGAGGAGGGGGAGACGAAAAATTAATGTATGCTGTCTGAAAGCCACCGTAAGCGTGAACAATCAATTAAGACCTGAAATGGTTTATCAAATCCTTCCAATGATTGCTAAGCCAGAATCCATCTTCTCGGTTGAAATTGTCTCTGTGCTTGTATATGTGGATATATATATACAAGCACAGAGACACGTTATTAGAGATTCGTTCATGAGGCTACCATGAGAGATTCGTTCATGAGGCTATCCACATATACAAGCACAGAGACAATTTCAACCGAGAAGATGGATTCTGGCTTAGCAATCATTGGAAGGATGTGATAAACCATTTCAGGTCTTAATTGATTGTTCACGCTTACGGTGGCTTTCAGACAGCATACATTAATTTTTCGTCTCCCCCCTCCTCTTTTTAGAACATAGATGGACTCGTCCTTCTAAACAAATTGCCAAATCGCTGCCCGTGGCGCTAACGTTTTTTAAATAAATAAATGCAAACACCGTTTATAAATAAATAAATGCGGACCGCCACTTCTTTCAAATGTTTCTTGCCGTTGGTTTTTCACACCTGATGATGACCGTTTGCGTTATGGTCGAAACGTCGTGAGAATTTTTATTGTTTTATATATATTTCATTATTTTATTGTTTCCCTTCAACGTGACTTTACCGAAAGAGCTAAGAATATGAATTACTGCAGTCACGAAAGCTTTAAATCAAAATTTAACAGATTTGATTTCGTAATACACTTACAATGTAAACAGCCTATAAGACAGCGTGGTAGCCTTAAATTATTGTTACCATTCTGTTAAACATAAACACATGCACACGCCTTTCCCTCTACCGGACGTAACATCTGCAAGCATTACGTGATTCCCCCTTATTAACTGAAAATGACATAATTTGACATGTTTGCATCTCTAATAACTTAATGAAGGGCACTTATGATGTTCTTGTCATAACTATTTGAACCAGATAAATAACAAATTTAAAAATTTGAGTGAGATTCAGAATAGTGATGTTTACTTTCCGGTTTTTTGCCAAATTTCCTCCACTCCCATCTGGCCAGTGGAGTTGAAGTAATAATCATAATTACGTTATTTCACTTATTGGAATTTTTGGCAACTTCCATTGAGTAGCACTTTGAGGAGATAAGCTTGGAGCACGCAGAGAAAAGCCACGCATTCAAATGAGATGCCACTCAAAGATCCACCCACACGTACAGATTCACAACCCACTTTCTGTACTGCCACCTCCTGGCTATCTCACTGCCCAGTGGGGTTTGTCGTCTCGGAGATCGATGTGAAATTCACCAACCCTTCAAAAGCACCGGACTGCAGATGTGCACCGCCACCGTGCCTAGGGTGCACTGGATGGAGTGAAAATTGCATCCGTCATGCACGTTCTGGCTGGCATTGGCAGTGAAGGAAACATGTAACACGCTATTACTCATTCCTCAAACTACACCTGATAAAGCCACAGGATCAAACTGAATGTTTTGCTACGTAAAAATATATTTTTTATATATATTTTTACATTTTTTTTAATCACATTGAAAATGCAAAACAGAGTTTTAACACTCATGAAGAGGCAGATCTGTTTTTTCAGGACTGATTAATATATTATATCCTTAGTTTTTTTCGGTAAAGTCACGTTGAAGGGAAACAACAAAATAATAAAATATATAAAACAATAAAAAAAATCACGACGTTTCGACCATAACTCAAATGGTCGTCTTCAGGTGTGTTGGTTTACATAAATTTATTTTTAAATGGCGCATTTATTTATTTATAATTACTGCAGTCACGAAAGCTTTAAATCAAAATTTGATTAATATATTGTTTGTGTTATTGTTTAAGAGCAAGAATATTACCTGAAAATACCTTTTCTTCAAATTGCTTAAACATATGTGAGTTTAAGCTTCAGCTTTGCAACAAATCCCACATCAATCACAGTAATACCATTTCCACATCTGGTACAGCATTAGTTCATGCACTCCTAATCTTTCTACTTGTTGACCGGATTTATCTTCGTTTGACCTTCTTAATTAATTTTGCCGTCAAGCACAAGATCATCTGAAATACTGCCGTTAAGGCCCTCACTCAACCTATGCCACAATTACCCTGATCGTCAGAAAACCTCCAGTGCTTCCCAATTCACAGTGGATCACTTACACGATTTCCCTCATTGTCCTCAAGACTGACCGATGGCCCACACTTTTCTACTGCTCTGACTTCATATCTTCTCACTCTCCATTAACCATTGCCTCCTCCTGAACCCTTAGATGATATCCCCCCCCCCACCTCAATGTGTAGTCGCGAATCCACCATTGCTCTTATTGTGAGATTGTCTTCCCCTCGATTGTCCACATTTATAATTCCCTCCTGAAATTCAAATTTCAGCTCAAAACCCATGCATGCCTTTTCCACTGTCTATGAATTGTCCTTCCTTTGTATATTTTTGTTACAATTATGCTTGATTTGAAGCTTTCGTGACTGCAGGAATCCATACTCTTTGGTTCTTTCGGTAAACTCACGTAGGTAGAAAAATAAATAAAATAAAACAAAAATATATCACAACGTTTCGATCGCGACATGTGGCCACATAAATAACCTCTTGTTGTAACAGCTCTCTCGCTGATTCAGAAGTTCCACTGCTGGATTATTTTTTTTCCGCCTGAGGACGACCGCTTGTGTTGCGATCGAAACGTCGTGATATATTATTATTTTTATTTTGTTTTATTTTTCTACCTCCGTGACTTCACCGAAAGAACCAAAGAGTATCATTATGCTTGTTAACTGAGGAACGCTTCGGTGAGTCTGATTACTCTCTTTCAGGAGGGTCCTGGCAAGTTTTCACAGTCAGAGGCAATGTTGATGCTATGTGTAATCCCAATTGAATCATATGCAGAACAAATTTCAGCTTTGGGATATTTGGCCAATACCAGTTAGAGTCTATATTTGTTTTAGCTTTTCAAACAGTATTTATTCAGTTTGCTTTCCCTTGTATATTAAACACCACCAGAATGAAACTTTGTAAATATAACGTATAGAACCCATAATAGAGGTTTTTTTTGGGTTAGATCTCGTAAATATATAAATGTGTTGTTAAACCCGCCACCACCCGACACAGCCTCTATTGGATGATATTGGTCGCCAAAGCCTACGTGTTAAAAAAACGTATAGAACTTGATTTTGTGTTTTTCCCCTATTTTACGTTATACAGCATCTTATTATACTCTTCTATTTATATACTAAATAAGTGAAATGTTATTATATACGTACACATATAAGTGCAGTATACCTGTATATCAAAATGCAATCACAACAAATGTGGATGCATACAGCCTCAAAATGCGACCACTTTAAAAACCTTGTACAGGCACCAGTAGGCATGTTTATTGTATGAAGAGAATTAGTCGGTGATCGAATCTGGACTTGAACAGGTGCAGAGAGCTGGCAGCACAGGTGGCTTTGGGAAGGAAATTCCGGACTAGGAGCGCAGCAATGAGAATAAGCGACCTCCCACAGAGTGAAGGTGAAATTCTTAGATGCTGAGGCAGAGGGTGCATAGAGGGGAGAAGAACGAGACGAGGTGGGAGGCAGGCAGGGGCGAGTCCATGGAGGATCTTAACGATGATGAGTACTATCGTGAAATTGGTCTGGAATGAAATAGGCAGCTGTGAAGGTAGGTTTAGGGTGATGTGGTCTCATTTATGGGTCTGAGTGAGAAGTCTCGCAAGCATTATTTCTGATCACCTGGCATTTGGATATGTGGAATTTGGGGAGGCCATGGAGGAGAAAGTTGAAATGGTCAAGTCGGGATGTGACAAAGGCATGGATGAGGCTTTCAATGGTGGGTGGCTAAAGTATGTGATGCAAATTATTGTTTAAAAATGTATGGGAAATGTGATTCGTAAATGTCTGCCCTGGTATGCCCTATGTTTGGAATAGATGCTGAGGAGAAAGCTCGGAGAGACGAAGAAGTCAGAAAGCAAGAGGAGGAGCTTGAGAGGAAAGCTCTGGAGGAGAAGGAGGAGCAGGAGAAACAGCAGGAAACGGGCAGTGATAAAGGAGCGGATGTGAAAGTGGACGGTGGAGAGACTCGTCCAGAAAATGGGATTCAGGAAGATGGGGACATCTCCAACATGGACAGCAGTGCACAGGTGCAAATTGGTAAGATGTCATTTTGTAATGATTATCCACACTTTATTAAACTTTCCCCACATACTGCATATATGGGCATAGAGATAAGTGTTCGGGTCTTAAAATACAGAGTTAATAGATGTTATACAGTATACTATTGAAACCATTTAGAAAAATAGAACAGCTATGCTGACAGTGTGTGAAGAAAGTAACAACATATATATTATAAGTGGCCTCAGACAAGGACACACTCTTTTCCCATTGTAATTCACATTGACACTAGAAGATATTTTTTTCTGGAAATTAGATCGGAGAAATAAAGTATATAATTATAAATGGCCAAAAAATTTCATAGTTTGAATTGGCTGGGTCATGACTGCTCCTCTAGGGGAGGGGGTTTTGATTGGCCAATGAGATGCTGCCCCTCGATGAGACACCACCCCTGAATGCAAGATCGCCCCAAATGGATCGATCCCACAAAATCAAATCCATCCAAACATATTTTTTGTAAACTTTCAAACTGTGTTTTTTTTACTGTTCTATTTGAATGTACATTTTCTAGAAAAATATATAAAAAAGTATATTTAACTTTTTAAAATATCTACTAATGATGAAATCATATTTCTCCTGCCTCAGCAGTTCGCCTGCTGTATTTTTGTCACCTGAAGACGATTGCTTGTGTTGCAATCGAAACGTCGTGATTTTTTTAATTTTTCTATCTACGTGACTTTACCGAAAGACCCAAAGACTACTAAAGATTGTTGTAGGCAATTTTAGGTGGGTCACTGCCCCCATCCCACAGCATTTAGCCCAGCCACCACTGCATACAACTGGAACACACATTGGATAATGTTTCACTGGGGCAGGAATTGAAGGTAACCAAGTTCAAATAAAAAACAGAGCAGGGTGCAGTGATTTTGGAAAACTGAACTTGATAACGAAAACTAAAATACGAATGTGCCTAAAGAAGAACGTTTTTATCCGTGCATACTGCCTGCATGGCACCCGGATAAGTAACACGGACATTGACTGAGAAAATGGAACAAAGAGCTGACATGTGTGCATAGAAGCATGGAGAGATGCATGCTTGGGGGGAAAAAAACAGGAATAGGAATCCATGGATCAGAGAGAAAATGTAAGTTAGAGACATCGTATTGATTGTTAAGAAAAGTAACAAAGTTTGTATTGACGAATGTGTTTTTGTTTTTTTGTGCGTGTGCACCAATGCCCACACAGTATCTTGGCAAGTGACCTTACGAGAAGGGATGAGGGCCAATGCTTGAGACGCATGACAGGGTAGCAGCCATAGGGGGGAGCATGCCTGAGAGGAAATCCACCGATGAGATGGAATTATGAAATCAGCTGATGTGCAGGAGCTAGATCAAATGTTTCCTGATGCAAAATAATGAAGGATAATTTGGGGAGGCCGTCATTCGGCTGATAATGCTGACGATATAAACCGATACACATATTAATTGAAGCTACACACTGCTCAGTCATGCTCTATAAATATTAATATATCCATAATTATAATAAGGAGTGGTTTGATAATGGTTGATGATATATGATATACTAAAATGCTATAAAGCTGACAGGTAATCAATATGTATGCAGTATTTTACAGCGTGGTATCGGGTAACAAACATCAGCCTTGAGAGACTTAAGAATTCTGAGTGTGCATAATTATGATCAACAGTTAGACTCTAATCTTACTTTATTTCAGTAATTAATCAGACACCTTACATGTATTACTTGTCTGAGATGCAACACGACTTTCTAATGACAAAAGGGATTTCCTCAGGGTTTGTGGCACACAGTGTGAGGAATGCTGCTGCAAAGGTATTTAATTGTGCAGTCAGTATTCATCCGCTAACGGATTTAGGTATCTGCTTGTGCACCATACTGTACACCACACACTGCAGTGATAGTTAACGTAATGCCTCAGTTGCACTTATTTATGTTTCCAGCAGTTTTAATTATAAATAGGGCCTGGCTTCTGGGCCAGTTTGTGCTTCAAGAGAGTGATATCGTAAATGCCTTTTTTTTTTTACCAAACATTAATCAGGAGCAAATGGGTTTTCAGCACTTTCGGCAAAAGCCAATTGCATAATCTCGAAGGTATTGAATTAAAACGGTCAAAGTAGGTTCCCAACAGCATAGCTTTTAAGCATTAAAACACCACCCTACCTAATGTAGACGCTTTTCCAAATGGAAAGTGCAGCTGAAACAGAAGCTGCCATTTTCATGAGAAATGCTTATGAATGCACATTATGTGACGTGTAAAGGCACCAACACCCATTTAACATGATTTATGACATCCGATCTGGCATATAAAGTAATATAAGAGTTTTCTCCGATGGTCTTAAATAATTGTGAAGAAGTTGCCTTTGGCTTCAAAACAGGCCTCTCCGGATATTTGTGAATGTTGGCCGCGTTGGATGAGGTCACACGAGCATGCATTGTCTCTGGCGCAAATGAACATGATGGGAATCCATAGAAGTGCAGTGATAATAATTCACATCTGTAAGGTGGATTTCATACAATGCTCCCATCGTATGCTTTTCTTCAAATATAATCCTTCAGATGTTACATTCATAATCTTAAAATGTTGTGTGACTAGATATGTTTCTTCGTACGTTAATGCTGTTGTTTAACTTGTAATTTAATAATGCTATTTATTGACCCAGGAAACTTCACTGAGTCTCAATATTCTTTCTTAAGCGTCCCGCATCAGAAAGGTTTATCCCATCCAATTAAAGAGTTATGTGTATGTAAGATGAAATCATAATACCCAGAGAAAAAGCACATGTATGAGGCGATAAGCCTCAAAGGTCACATCGGCAAGTTCATAATCTCATTTGTTGTAGAGGCAGTCCTCTACTTACGAACACCAGATGTACGAACAGCTTCCATGAGATATATTTTTTTATGTCGACTAAAAACGCGAACTCGCACTTGCAAACTAAACCATGGAGCTATTTTGTTCAACAGAGCGATCCTCCGCGAGATGTAATGAGTCAGCCTCGCGCTGAGAGTGTTTGTGTGTGTGCGCGTTCGTGCACATTTATATGTCAAAGTGACTTGGCCTCAAATGAGTACCTGGTGTGGTTTGTAAACACCGCCACTGGGGAGACAAAGACGGCCGGGCGTGGTGTTGGCCACCCACCCCCTCGTGTGCCGTGCCGGCCTTCACAGGTGCTCGCTAAAAGCACTTGGCCCAAACAGTCTGTTAGAGGCTATAAGGGAGATCTTTGTTCGTGTGAAAGTGACTGTGCGTGTGGTGGGCAGTGCCGTGGGGGGAGGGCCAACTTAAATTGGCCATTCCCCTCATGGCGTCTGTAACCACTACAGCGGCCAAATGGGGGCTCTGGACGGGTGCGAGGGGCTGGTAACCCCTCCACCTTCAATTAATTACCACTAAAATACGAGTTAAAAAATGTATTAAGCTTGTGCTGGAGGCCCCGGGGGGACAGGCGTCTATGACATCTCCTGGCCAAACCCCATTTGGTGGAGCCAGGAGACTGAATCCTTACCCTCGGGGCTCCTCCAGAAACAACAAAAAACCACTACGTGTGGCCACGTGGAATGTTCGAACGCTCACTGCGGAGGAGAGGCTACCACTCCTCTTTCGGGAGCAGGACCGGTACCGCCTGGATCTCTGTGGTATTCAGGAGGTCCAGTGGACCGGCTCTGGCTCCTGCCACCATGAGGGGTGGACAGTCCTCTACCCGGGGCAGGAGACTGCCAAACAACAGGGAGTGGTTCTTGTTCTGAACAAAATAATGAAGGGGGCGTGGGAGCGTGGTGTTGAGGTGTGGGGAAGCTGTAAGCCCCAGGCTACTTTGGGCTCGCCTTCCCATCAACCAGAGGCAAGGAGTGGTGGTCGTGGTTACTTATGCCCCCACCGAAGACGAACATCCGTGGAGGGATGAAGGCAACGCCGATGAGTCACATGCCTTGTATGACCTTCTGTCACAGGTGATCTGCCCACTGACGATCGATTTGTCATCTGTAAGATGCGCATGCAATTTTTCCACTTCGGTGGTGGGTGTACACCCAGGACCCCATTCAAACCCACCGTGGCATGGTCTCAGATAGCTGGTGAAAGTTGCAAGCGAGAATTTCATCATCGCTTGCGGCTGGGGTTGGCATCGTCCCCGACTCCTCCTGATGTCGAGGGGAAATGGGCAAGGTTTAGGACTGTGGCTCATGCAGCTGCATTGGCTGCTTTGGGTACATGGTCCAGACCTCCCCAGAGACCCTGGCTGACAGAGGAGGTGTTCAGGCTGGCTGAGAAAAAGCGACAGGCCCACTCTCATCAGCTACAGCATCCCAGATCAGAGAATGAGGAGGCTTACCGCAGCCTTCGCTCGGAGTTTCGGAGAGCCGTGAAACGCTGCAAGGATGGGTGGTGGTTGTGGGTTGCTGAGGAGATGGAGTCTGCCTCAATGGCCCGCGATCACAAATCACTCGTTAATTCCATAAAAAAGTAACCTGCAGCGCCACACCTATTACCATCATTAGGGGAAAGAACGGTGATCCAATCTCCGACCCCCAGGAACAGGTTTGCAGATTTGCTGAGCATTTCTGTAAGGTCCTGGGGGAGGGGAAATCCCTCAGCCTGGAAAACAACGTGGCACAAAGTGGGGATGACCCTGCCGAGGCTGCGGTACCTCAAATATTGGAAGAAGAAATCACCCCCTGTGAGTGGCTGACTGAGGTGCCATCTGTTGAGGAAGTACTGAAGGCGATCCAGAGTCTGAGACCACGAAAGGCACCGGGCAGAGATGATCTCCCAAGCAAAATGCTGAGGGAGGGTGGCGTTTGTGCACAGGCTGCCCTACATGACATCATAACAACACTGGACGGGTTCCGCAGGATTGGAAGGATGCCCTGGTGGTCCCCCTCTTTAAGAAGGGGACCGCACAGACTGTAACAACTACAGGAGCATCTCACTCCTCAGTGTGCCGGGAAAGGTGCTGGCAAGGATTATTAAACATCGCCATGCTAGGCACGCTGAGGAGAAGCTTGCAGAGCCCCAATGTGGTTTCAGGAAAGGGCGGTCCTGCACAGATGCCATATTTTCTGTCCATCTGCTACAGCAGAGGTGTAGGGAATTCCAACAAGACCTACATCTCTGCTTTATTCACCTGGTCAAGGCCTATGATACCATCAGTAGGCCTGGGCTCTGGGTTGTTCTTCGTGCTTTCGGAGTCCCTGACCCTCTGCTCACGATCATTAAGGACCTTCATGATGGTTAGCGGGCCCGGGGAAAACTACATGGCCGGGAGTCGAAGCCATTCCCTGTGCACCTTGGGGTGCGACAGGGATGTTATCTGGCTCCCACATTATTTAACATCTATTTCGACCACGTAGTTCGTGAAGCCTTCAGTAGCTGTACCGGAGGAATTTCCATCTGGTACAGATACAATGGGAAGCTGATCGATGCCCGGATGTGGTCAAGGAATGGCTCCCTATTGGTCAACCACGTTATGTATGCCGACGACCTGGTAATTGTGGCTCACTCAGAGGAGGAGTTGGAGGTGCTGCTGCTGAAACTGGAGTGTGCCACTAAGAGGTGGGGCCTTACCATCAGCCCCACCAAAACGAAGCACCTGCCTGGGTATTTTGTACCATTGGGCACTCCACCCCCACAACATCCAATCGGTGATGGGGCAGTTGTGGAGAGTGTGGAGAGTTTCTCATACCTGGGCAGTGTGCTCATGACCGGATCTGGTTTAACAGCAGAGGTCTCACTCTGAATCAGTCGAGCGACATTATCTTTTCATCAGTTGCGTAACGCTGTGTGGAAGCTAACTGGCCTGTCGCTCCGCACGAAGCTTCGGGTCTGCTCGGCCACAGTCATTCCCTCCCTTCTCTACGCTTGCGAAACGTGGACCCCCCCTAATGGAACATCTTCGCCGGTTAGAAACATTTAGGCTGGCCTGCCTACGATAAATCCTGGGTTTAACCAGACTGGATTGTGTGAGGAGCTCACAAATCCTCGAAAGATCTGGACAAAGTCCCATTGGTGAGCTCCTCCGGCAGGCAAGGCTGCGTTGGCTGGGCCATGTAGCCCGCATGCCTAATCACCGCATGCCCAAACAGCTTTTGTTTGGCCGGATCGAGGGGCTAAATGGGCGTGGCACGGGCTAGAGAAGAGATGGAGTGATGTGGTACAGGAGGATGTGGAGCTGAGTGGACTTGCCGATGACTAGTACCAGTGGTGCCAAAATCGGCCTCTTTGGAGAAGGCTCGTGAAGGATGCTACTGGGCAGTTGGAGGCAGTCGCCCTCCAACAACAACAGAGGACGGAGGAGCGACGCTCACAACAACGAGCGGAGCGCCGGGTGGCTAAAGCACAACAGGTTGGCCCAGTAGGGGGCACAGGTGGTACATCAGCCAGTCATCTCAGTCATCTCAGTCAGTCGACCCGTGGCACCTGGGTCTGCCCCGTGACCTCCTGCCAGCGGGCGTTCGACACTTCACGTGGCCTCAAGGTGCACATGGCCTGGCACAAGCGTCGTGGTGACGTCACCGCCACTTCGTGGCGAATGGCGGTTGTTGTTGTGTGTGTGTGGGGAGCGGTGGTGCAATGGTTAGCGCACTGCGCTACCAACCCGGCAACTCGAGTTCGATTTCCGCTCACGACCAACACCAGTGACGATTTTCTGAATGTATCATCGGCCTCCCCTAGGTCGACTCAGCCGCAAATCAGTACCTGGTGCGGTGTGTAAACATCGCCACCGGCGAGACAAAGGTGGTCGGGAGAGGTATCGGCCACCCAACTCCCTCGTGTGCCATGCCGGCCTTCATAGGCGCTGCTCACTAACAGCACTTGCCCCTACAGTCTGTGAAGGCTGCACGGGGGATCGTTGTTGTTGTTGTGTGTGTGTGTGGGCACATGGCCCCCCCCCTTGTGTGTGTGCCATTGTGGGCACTCATTGCACCCCTTCCGACAAGTGAGCCAACATCAGGAGTCAAGGAAAGTGAACATAAAAAAGATGTTTATATTTCTGTTACTTTATTTAATGTTTTATTTTTATCTATTTTCAACAGCTACAGGCTTAGTGCGGCTTGGAAGCGTATTATTAAATAAAACAAACTACAATTCGTTATAGGGGAAATGCATACTAATTAACGGATTACTAACGTAGCATATAATCACAATAACACACATTACAACTGATTACTAATCTACAACTCATTACTAATCATAACCATTGACTGATTACCAATCGATTATATAATTACAATACTCCGCCTAAAATCGCTGCACCTGAAATGAGTTAAATGATGACGTCACCCTGCTGCTCTATTTAAGACCGGGAGCAAGTGAGGGCTTTACCATTCTGGCGAATTGCCCGATGAAGCTGGATGTAATTACCAGCGAAACGTCGTACTCAAATTTTAAATGATGTTGATTCACTCTTCAACACACCGGTGGGCTAAAGTAGTGAACTATTTGTCCTTTGTAAACGTGACACATTTTTTACTGTTTGGCCATGTCGGGTGGTGGAGGGTTACGACACATTTATAAATAACGCGATCTAACCCAAAAACCTTTATTATGAATAATATTGGTCGCGAAAGCCTACGTGTTAAATTTATTACAGTATCACATGCAAATGTACAACATTTATGAGATTAATAATGCTTCCCTTTTTTGTTGGACTGTAACATATTTTATAACACTGACCATATGTGCATTTAAATTAAGTATATTTTTATTGTGTTCCGACTTACGAACGGGTCTCAGGAACGGAATTCGTTCGTAGGGCTGTCATACTGCCGTCTCCTGGTAACCTTGCAGCCGAGCCATTTTTACGTTCCACAAATATTCTTGATCCACCAACCCTTGCTTCCGAAGTCACGGTCATGCGCCATCATGCCTGGCCCAAAATTACGTTGGCACACTTAAGTTTATAGTGAAAAAAAAAACGGTTTAAGGTGCCCCTTTATTTGTTGTTACATATTTTTCAACTGAATAATTCATTTGGCAACATGTAATGTCTGTTCAGGCAACAAGCGCCAATCCTCCACTGCCCAAGATGGTGAAGCAGGGGGTGAAGACCAGAAGAGTGTGATTCCTCATGAGCAACAGCAGCAGCAACAGCAGCCATAAGGTGACCATGGGAAATTCCGCACTTATTCTACTCATGGGATTTTTTTTTTCAGGGTACACCAAAAAGCAATGTTATTTAAATTCGAATTTAGTTTGAGTAGATTACTATTGAACATGTTTCCGTCATGTTCTAAAACTCGTATTTAAAATCCAATTCAGGACATTTTTGTCAGGTTTGTATTTGGTTTATCAGCTGCACACATTTCTTGCAGCGCACAATTTTCAATGTAACTTTTTCCTCACATTTTACCCAATATAACAAATCGCTGAGTTCTGTGTAAATGAAAGAGCTGCCTTGCAAGGTTTCAGATATGGCAGAAAACTTCATTCAAAGCACCTTGCACCACATGGCACAAATCTGCTCATTCCATTCATTTATATTCTTTACCATTTACATTTTGACCCAATTACATTTTTGAGTTATGAGTTTTTATGTGTGTTGTTATTTTTGTTTAATCTAAAACAGTAATTATTTAATAGTAGTTGTCAATTCAGTTCAGTTTTATTTAATTGGTGCACATTCACTCCTTGTGCCAATTAATATTTGGCAAGAAGTACTAATTGTCCCATTCTACTGTCGATTATCTGATTATCAAAGTGGAAGATTACTCACATATGCAGCATTTCCCTATTTTTTTTCTTTTGCATAATTGAAAACAACTTGTTTTTCTTACATGATTGAATTTGATTAAACACCGTTTAATTATCTGTACGCATGCAAAATTCGCTTGAACTGTTTAAGCATGCATCTTATTTTACTTTGATATACAATTTGTTTATTCATGTCATCTGCAAAGGGAGTTACGCTCTTTTTTATAAGAAATAAAAATCAAGACAGTCACGAATTTACCTTTAGCTTACAATTTAAACCACTTGCAAGGACATCCCATATTTTATAATATTTTCTTGCGAGACCCATAACGGAAGCTGGACTCCATGTATGGTGAATTGAAAGCTGTCAAGCCTGGTGTCTTTCACCCAGGAGGCTTGCTTGAAGTTGTGTGGCCGTGTGGATGGGATTTAAGTGAGGGACTTCAAACAGGACCATTAATCAAAATTCTTGAAGCCTCCAACATTGCACAGCTACAGTTAATAAATGTACAATCTCCAATGACTCAATAGGAATGCAATGCGTCTTTTCTTTGGGACCCAAAAAGCGGTGTATTTACTTGTAGAAACGTGTTTACGCTTTATGCGACGTATATGGCTGTACACAGTATATTGTTGCACAACCAGCTGTTCTTATCACGAACGAAATTATAATTAAATATTAAGTCGCTTGTGCATGGCCATGTACAATAACAAGTTGTACATCTAAAAGGGCAGCTGAACATTGACCTGCAAATATATAAGCGAGAAGGCGTTACTTATCAACATGGTTATGAATATAATCAAATATTTTTAAAAAACATCACAAATTGATGAAACAAAAAAACACACAACTTAAAAAAATATTACGTGAAAGAGTTTAACAAGTTTTCATACCCATAAAAGCTTTAGGAAACAATATGCTAAATCATTATCCTACTCATTCTAAACCAATAGTAAGGTATGGGTCTGGCTGGGAGAGAGACAGTGATGTATGCACCATGTTTTGTTCCTCATTCATGGCAGATGAGGCCAATTGAGGCAAATGGATACATCGTGCAGAACACAGAACACATTCGAGGTAATTGTGTTCGCGTGCTGATCGAAGTATGCAGGAGTTCCGAGTCTTAAATGGTCCAAGTTGTCAAAACAACCTTAATAATCAAGGCCTCGTTTAATAAATAGAGCCTGGTGCACAATACAATAAACATCAGGAACAGGAAACTATTGGTTTCTAAGTAGTTTGCAAAACCATGTCAACAAGGGAACGCTTTTGATTTAAAGCTTTCGTGACTGCAAATTTTCTTGCTGTGGTTTTCACACCTGATGATGATTGCTTGTGTTGCAGTCGAAACGTCGTGAGCATTTTATTGTTTTATATATTTTTTTTATTTTATTGTTTCCCTTCTACGTGACTTTACCGAAAGAACCAAGAATATAAGGGAACGCTTGTTCTTAAATTTACAGTATAAATGACTAGCAAGGAATTAAACACATGGAAAGACAGACAACACCCAGTTCATGGAGCATTCATTGCATCATTCCTCAGTTTGATGAAAGGACAGCTGTTTTGGCAGAAGCTCTGCATTTTACATGACCATGCATTGTGACTTCTATAAAATAATTTCTGAGCCTCGGTAGACCTGGAATGAAAATACAATAGACCTCATCCTACTTATCATCTCCGATATCGCCTGTATGCTTTTGCGAAGCTGCCCATAGCCTTGCAAACTCAAACAGTGTCTCTGTAGATGGTGTGGTCACTGATCCTTGTATTTACATACGTGTACATGTGTATTTAATGGACCGGAGCATGCCTGGTCAGCTCCATCCATGGGTGCGTTATAAGTCGTGATATGATGATGCCAGACCACAATGCCCTTGCCCCACCCATAGCCGATGATTGGCTGCCGGGTTTGGTGATGGTTAATTGATGGCAACATTGTTTATGTGACGTTTGTGGAATGGCTTTTACAGATTTTTCTGCCGGATGTAGTTATCAAAAATTTTGAAATCCATTGGTAATGAATTGGGCCCACAGTTTATGATTTACAATACAGAGTTGACTGTGGATAATTGCAATCAAGTGTATAATTCCAATGTTAATGGTGTATTTACATCCCCTAAGGATGTACATAAGTCCCTCAAATGTATTTTATAGATTTTATTACGTCATATTTTTAAAGTGACCTTCGAGGTTACATTTTATGTCATTTTTATGTCTTACAGATGCAGTCCCACCAAGCACAAGAATACTAAGTCTCATCAGCTGCTTTTGCTATGCAGTATGCTTGGGGTTATGAAGTTGGTTTTCACAACCAATCTCAGCGCCACAAAAAAGGAAAATAATTTCAATTTGAAAAACAATGCCTAACAATGCTTTAAAATTGTAAACGTTGAATAGAAAAATCTTTATTCAGATTCTATTTATTTTTTTGAATTGTACTAGCTCATTAACAAAGGTAACAGATTGTTTTAAGCTACTGTACTGTTCGGCTTTTGGTTGTCAAGGATATGAATGCAATATAATACTAAGAAAAACACACGACACATATCCCAGCAGTATGTTCCACGAGTTTGAGTCACAGTGCTCGTGTCCAAAGTACAGAGTACCTGGATGCTCTCAGGTAAAATGGTCCGGCAGTTGCACTAAATGTGCAGCAAAAGGACACAGGGCGGAATGCTGTGTGATGTCTACGTTTCCTGCTTCTCGTCCCGTTATCTCGTCTTCGTCTCTCGCCATCGCCTACTGGAATGCTTTTAGGATCACGAATTTGAGATGCTGGTGATGTTGTGTGACACCAGTGCAGTTACTGACATATGTTCTCTCTTATCCAGTGTCATGTGAATTATAATCCAGACATCCATTGCAGCACAAAGTAAAGCATTCATATGTTTTACTGCCAATGTCAGAGAAAAAAAAACTTCAACCATAATCCCTGTGTGAAATTTCCCAGTACGCAGGAGTCAATGCCACGTTCCTCGATATGAATCATTCGGAACTGATGCGTTCATGTAACATCGTAGCGAATGGCCAACAATTTCAGCTGAAAGCCAATGGATGCAACAGACGTAAGAACCAATTACTTTGTGCTGTGTTTGGTCTTTGGAAAGTGTCCAAACTTACGTGTACAAGAAATTACAAGCTTTAAAAGTGTGCTGTTTAAATTGTCGCTCAAGTCTTTGAAAGGTATGTACTCGCTTTTGTCTTTGTGCACCATGGTAATGGGGATGTGTCCCCTTAGACTGTATATGTGTATAAAGCTGATTATATAACTTAAATTACCAGCAGAATTGTGTAATATACACAAGGTTTGCAAGTAGCTAACAAAGCTTAACAAGTTTGTTTAATACACATTGGCCAGCATTATATAAACTGACAAATATTTACTGTGTTTGTATCTTGTATTTACTTGTCTGTTCATCTCTGCCTTTTAAGTCTTTTATTTATTCCTTTTTTTAAATTATGACACGTGCTTCTGTATCAGCCAGCAATTTATCTTCCATGTAAATAAAAAAAACAACCGTTTTGTTTTTGTTGCAGTTTACAACTGCCTGTTCATGTTATTTCAACCATCCAGTCGGAGTATGCTGTCGCGGCAAATCACCATACGAGACACGGCTGGTGGAGGCGGATTTTTTTTCTTCGGTTAACTTCGACAGCACTGCGCGCATGCCGCTGCCCGCCTAATGAAAATTGAACACCACGCTTCATGCTGCCTGGACCTCAGTAGTCTCCAATCGACCAAGGATTGGATGCCCTTGCACCTCCGTATGAGGACACTTAGTGGCAACCGCTCTCCTTGCAAACTGCATCGTGAAGCGTTCACGCATTGCCTTGCAAGCACCTCAATGGCACACCACACCCCCCACGTCACAAGGGAGCACGTGTGTGTGTGTATGTGTCCCGGCAATTCGAAAAAAGGTAAATGTTATTTCACAATGCGCACAACAATTATCTGTATGAATGGTAACAACATCGCGTCTGCAATTCCATGCGTTCCAGAGTTATAGAGGATTGGGTGGTCGCCAGGAGTATGTGGTGCCTGGCTAGGGGGTTTTCAAATACAGTAATTGGTTTAATTAATCGTTATTTAATTATATCAGCGCTGCTAAAATTAATTATTTATGTGCAAGGGAGTCAAGAAACCGACGCAGTAGTTATCTATGGATAACTTATTAGAATATATTACAATTATGATGATTGCACGTGGATGCTGCCGTGATGTAACGCACAGCGCAATGGACTTGCACTATCATTTCACCATCCAGTGGTTCAATTCGTTTTCCCAGCGCAGCAGTTCAAACAATGGGCAAGTTTCTTTAATCTTCCTCCCCACCACCCACAGCCTCTGTCCAGTCTGCAGTATAAATGGGTATGCCGTTGTCGATCGACATCTGTTGTGTGGTGAGGGTAAAGTGTGGATACTCTCAACTCTTCCAAATTGCGTGGCTAGCAAAGAAGACTTGCCCGAATGCCCTCTACAGGAGCTCTCTCGAGCTCTCTCGAGTCGAGACTTTCACCAGCGGTGGCATGAACGAGAAATTCCAGGGGCTGCACCTGTACCTTTTATTATGATAGTACTGTAGTGCAATTTAGTTGGCATTGTGAATTGACTCTGAACTGCAAGCCACTTTTGCAATTGCTGTGAGTTGGCGGAAATTAACTGTCCACAATACTAAATGGCTCTGGGAGTTCTCGCCGGCCAAAAGACCATTGCCGCCACACACTTCATTTGAATTACAATACTTATATATTTTTTTCCGCCTGAGGACGACCGCTTGTGTTGCGATCGAAACGTCGTGATATATTATTTTTTGTTTTTCTAACTACGTGACTTTACCGAAAGAACCAAAGAGTATGGATTCCTGCAGTCACGAAAGCTTCAAATCAAGCTTCATTACAATACCGTACTTAATTTGGATTGTAGAGTCAATGGCTACTGTGTTACTTCGCAGGGATATAGGCATTGGAGGCCGTGCCCTTCTGTTTGCAGTGGTGGAAATTCCCTATTCCTATGGTGGGGGCAAGGTTCTCCATAGGACAACCAATAATGTTTTGACTTGCCTGCAAAATGGTAGTCATTTTATTGACCCCGAAGGAATGAACTTGTAACCTTCTGATTGCAAGCCACCCATCTAATTCAGTCATCTGGCTGGATTTCTAAAATAGTCATTCGTTTTTAAAGTTCAGCCATGACATACTGGAAGCAAACGGTTAAGGCTTGTTGCCTTACACAATGCACGAAAACATGTTTATACCACGCAGAGATCATTTTATGAGTTTCATTAAATAGAATGTAAAGCATTCAATAATGCCTATAAGGCATGATTGAACAAAAATACAACTATATTCAATTAAAGGCTTTTTTTTAAAATAAACCACTCCGTTGATGTAATGCAGACAATTTGCTACGATTATTAAATATTTTTCCAGTGATATATTGTGAAATTCCTTTAGAATTACTTATTTTAACTTTGGCCTTGCTACATGTACAAATCCCTCAAATCTAAAAATTGAAGCGTTCGTTTATTATTTATTTCTAGTTTACTTGTGCAGTTTCTGGCCATTATTAATGTGCATTTTGCACATTACAACACACCATGATATGATAGTTCGAGAGTGCATATAGAGACGTCGTGTTATCATGTGGGTAACAAAAAAACATTCCACAATTTTTAACATATACTTATTCATCTTTACTTTTATTACAGGAACAAAATGTGTTTTACTATTATCAATATTTTATGGTTTTCTTAGGCAATCTGGCCAACTGAGCTTTGGAATAATTGTATTCACTTCAAGATGAAACTATAAACTGAAAAAGCAATTATCAATGACATTTAAGACCATAACCACTCTCAACAGTGTAAAGGTTTTTCAAAATCCCTGTCAAATACTTTATAGAATAATAAAGGATTATTCTCCACTTTAGCCCATGCACTATATAGAAACAGATATAGGGTCTGGAATTATCACTGCATGAGACTAAAGTGAGGATCATAGCGTTTTCCAAAAATGTAATTGTAAAAGTATCATTTCGAGATGGAGTAGAATTAATTGGTACAGGAATCATACGAGAATTGGACCAGGATGGGATTTAGTGAGCAATTCTTTTTGCAAATGGTTGTAAATTATTAACAATAGCCTCACTATAATTGCTCTTCATTGATTCAATGAACTAATTTAAAAAGCAGCTTGCATGAATGGGTTCTTGGCAATACATTTTGAAAGTTGTATATATATACAGTAGGAGTCAAAAGGGTATATATGGGCTGTCTTTTATATGCAATGTATTCACACTTACAAACGTTTACTGCACATGAGTATACAACTAAAAAGCATAGCTTTGTAAACCCATTGAATTAAGGATGATTAAAAAGATAAGGATCCTACATTTTTGCTGAACCTATGGCTCGTGCAAGAATGGATCACGTCAACCATAGCCAGCAAACACTATCAATAAGTTGACAGGTTTTTAAAAAATAAATTAAAAAAAACACTTAGAAATTTGCACTTAGTGAGAAAGTGGGACGAGCAGAAAAAATGTTAATGTGGGTGAAGCCACAAACCGCTAGGATTTCTTACAATTATTAATTTTTAGTTATGCAGCTGGTGACCAATTCGTTTTTTTTTTTAAGTTTAAGAACGGTCGAAATCTGTGCCGCTGAAATATAATCGCGTTTTAATAAGGAATACATTAATATTTCATCACAATCCAGCAAAAGTACGCTGAAGGTCAGTGATATTATTACATAATGCATCAAAAGGTCTGCTCCTGTGAGATGTTGATGAGATGAGGTGTAGAAGCAAACGGGATGTGGTTTGGTGTTGTGTGACCAGGGTGGTTGAGATAATACTCTTAAGTGTATGCAGGATTGTATCGTTTTTTTACCATCTCCAAATAATCCAATATATTCTTCTGACGGAACCATGTAAATACTCTTCTAAAGTCAATGTATGCTTATACTGTACACACAGCATGGAAATGTTCTATAAAAGAAACTTAACTTTCTAACCAATTAATATAACTCATTTTAAACTTACAGCGAGCCAGTACATGTCATATGTATTCCCAGGTAACTCGATGCCCTATGCGATAGTAACACAGATAGGTAAGGCAAGTGATGCACACACTATATACCAAGGCAATGTGGATACTCTCTCGCTCTGTGAAGTGACATTGAGGTACACCTGGTGAGTTAGATAAACTTGTCAAACGTATATTGACCCCACCGAGTAGAGCAATTCAGTATGCAGACCCCTGTATCTTTAATATGTCACTGTGTAGATCCTAGAGCTTGCAATGTCTATGTCGAACCACTGTGCATGCTTGAGGTTCTAGGTTTGAATCTGGGAAATCCACCACATGATTAAATTGGGGTGATAAGCGTCGCAGTGAATTCAGCATAGTCAATTAGTTCACACAAAAAATAGGTTTGCTCATATCCGCCTATCACATCTCTTAGGGATGACGTTTGTACAATATATGAAACAGTGGCAGTCGTTAGCACACTGCCCTTATACAGTGAGGGAAAAAAGTATTTGATCCCTTGCTGATTTTGTACGTTTGCCCACTGACAAAGAAATGATCAGTCTATAATTGTAATGGTAGGTTTATTTGAACAGTGAGAGACAGAATAACAACAACAAAATCCAGAAAAACGCATGTCAAAAAATGTTATAAATTGATTTGCATTTTAATGAGGGAAATAAGTATTTGACCCCCTCTCAATCAGAAAGATGTCTGGCTCCCAGGTATATTTTATACAGGTAACGAGCTGAGATTAGGAGCACACTCTTAAAGGGAGTGCTCCTAATCTCAGCTTGCTACCTGTATAAAAGACACCTGTCCACAGAAGCAATCAATCAGATTCCAAACTCTCCACCATGGCCAAGACCAAAGAGCTCTCCAAGGATGTCAGGGACAAGATTCTAGACCTACACAAGGCTGGAATGGGCTACAAGACCATTGCCAAGCAGCTTGGTGAGAAGGTGACAACAGTTGGTGCGATTATTCGCAAATGGAAGAAACACAAAAGAACTGTCAATCTCCCTCGGCCTGGGGCTCGATGCAAGATCTCACCTCGTGGAGTTGCAATGATCATGAGAACGGTGAGGAATCAGCCCAGAACTACACGGGAGAATCTAGTCAATGATCTCAAGGCAGCTGGGACCATAGTCACCAAGAAAAAATTGGTAGCACACTACGCCGTGAAGTACTGAAATCCTGCAGCGCCCGCAAAGTCCCCCTGCTCAAGAAAGCACATATACATGCCTGTCTGAAGTTTGCCAATGAACATCTGAATGATTCATAGGACTTCTGGGTGAAAGTGTTGTGGTCAGATGAGACCAAAATGGAGCTCTTTGGCATCAACTCTACTCGCCGTGTTTGGAGGAGGAATGCTGCCTATGACCCCAAGAACACCATCCCCACTGTCAAACATAGAGGTGGAAACATTATGCTTTGGGGGTGTTCTTCTGCCAAGGGGACAGGACAACTTCACCGCATCAAAGGGAAGATGGACGGGGCCATGTACCGTCAAA